TTCACTGGTAACGTTCTCAAACTCTTGATGGAATGTATGTGGTAGATGGAAAACAGGAGAAATTAAATGACAAAAGAGATGATGCTGCAATGCAAACAAGATTATCACAGAACAAAGAATAAAAGATGAGTCTAGAGGAAGTGTAAACAACAAGTGGGAACAACAGAACCATTACCAACATCCACTGCCTTAAACACTGGAAGTCGACATTATGACTGATATTGTTGAACTTAATGTTGGATCAGGAATGCTATGAAGTTCCTAATTGAAAGTCGAGTTCCCCGAGCCTATTTTGAAGTCAAGGATAGAGTGGAGAGTGAGAAGGATATTAAAACTAGTGACTGGAAGCCTGCGATCACACTTGCTGACTGAACAAAGGTGCTATGTAAAGCTATCACCCAATCTGTATTTAGTCTCCCTAATGCAGAGATCACATCATGAACACAGAGTAAAGAATACTAAATTGAAAATAGTATAAGCAAATTGGTGTTTCACCTGCAAGGGCCTTTAGGGTGAGAGATGAAAGGTGGATTTTTGAAAAAAAAACATTTATTTCAATTCAGCATCATGTTTTGTTTCCAGCTTTGGGAAACTTGCATGGGAAGGGGTGTCTGAGGATTGGAGCAGGGTATCATGAAGGGACTTTCGTAAGAGGAGGAAAAAAAGGTGTTTGATGGTAGAATCAGGCTGGAGACAGTGGAGAATGATCCAGTCAAAGTGGAGGTAGTGAAAAGTGAGCACTAATGGAGCCTTAGCATGGGTGAGAATAGAAATGTAGAAAATGAAATGGTCCAAACTGTCATTGTCAACTTCTGTGTAGTTGGTTTGAAGACAAATCAGGAGCATTGGTGTAGGTGGTAGAATCATCAGGACAGACATGGTGGAAATGGAGTAACTGGGAGCATTGAACAGAATCCTTACCGCAAGCTGGATGGGAGTAATTGCAACAGAGGTAGCTGTGGGAGGCAGCAGACTTGTATTGCAATTTGGTCAGTAACCTATTCCCAGAAATGGAGACACCAACTTTACCAGATTAAAAACAAAGTGCTGGAGAGTTTCAACAGGCTTGACAGCATCGCTGGAGAATGAAATAGAGTTCAACATCAGTTTTAGTGCTGTTTTAAACATACTAACTGATATCGATGACTTAAGTATCAGGAGGTTCCAGAATGTTGTTTCTCCAGTAATAAGATCTTTTGGGTAAAATTGTGCGATTTAAAACTATCAAAAAGAAAGCCAGATTTAAAAAAATTTTAAAAATGAGTAACTCTGCTCAATCTGCGCTAAGGTATCACTGTTTTACAACTGCTTTAATTGATACAGAAGCTTATTTAATCAGCTATGGATGTAGTAGATGCATCAAATCTTAATCACCATGTTCATCGTTCATGGCGGCTGGGAGGGAAAGAGATAGGTTACACTTCTTGGTCCATCATGTCTGTTTTGATACAAAAGAAATTCACGTCTTCAAATTTCAGCTCAACTTTTCAGAGCTTGCTTACAGACCACCTCCCCCCCACCTTAACATGTTGGCCATAGTATAAGTAACATAAATGTGAAATTCATGAGAAAATACCAAAAGTAACTAACTGTTAGTATGTCTTTTGCCTTATGAAATCATTACTTGGCAAAATTCATAATTTTTGCAGAACTGAGTCATCGCTCAAACTACTAAAAATAATTCACAATCTCCCAGGCTGAGAACAGAAACAATATTGTCTGACAACTTTTTTTCTCTTGTATTTATGAGGAACCGAAACTGGTGCATTAGCTCTGGAAGGAAATGATCCAAATAATTAATCTGAGTTTCTTATAAATGGGGAGCAAGAAGTATCGGTAGCTTAGATCCAAGTCAAACTAACCTAAATGGACAATTATTCTGCTGACGGTTCTAACTGGATAGTCAAGTGTTCCCATAATATGAAGAGGTTAATGGAAAGAAGTCTAGTGGAAACACCTGAAGTTGTAACTGTCCAAGCATTACATTAACTTCAATCACCAAATAACTTGTCAGAATGTCTCCAGGCCAATAATATCAAAATACAGAGGTATGCAAACAAATCAAGTAACATATGATGGAAAGAGCAATTAGATATTTGGGCCTCATTCACCATGCTCATGGGTGGTGGGTCAATATGCTGGACCAGCTCAGCAGCAGTTGTGTATCTGAGCAAATTAATACATCTCTGTCACGTTGCAAACATGATCCGTTATGTAGATACCAGATGTTTGATCTCCTTGGAATAATAGAATATTGAGACCAGAGCATTTCTTTTAGAGACAGAACATTTAAACAAACTGTTAAGCTCCCAAGTCGCATGCCAACAAAATTTAGCTAGATCAGCTACTGCCACTAGCATTCACGTCCCGTTTGGAAATCAGAACAAAATTAGTGAACTTTTACAAAAAGGGAACAGTAATCACAGGATATTAAACACATGGGGTGGCAGAGAGTCTCAGTGGTTAGTACTGCTGCCTCACAACACCAGGGACCCAGATTCAAGCCTTGGTCAAGTGTGTGGAGTCTGCACATTCTCCCAATGTCTGTGGGGGTTTCCTCTGGATGCTCCGGTTTCCTCCGACAGTCCAAAGATGTGCAGGTTGGGTGGATTGGCCATCCTAAATTGCCCATAGTGTCCAGGGCTGTGCAAGCCATGGCAAATGCAGGGATACAGGGATGTGGTAGGGGGTGGATCTGTGTGAGATGCTTTTCAGAGGTTTAGCGTGGACTTATTGGGCCGAATGGCCTGCCCCAACACCATAGGGATTCTATTCTGATAAGCCTTTTCCTTAACAAAGAACAGAACAGCACGTACCGTTGCAATATTTGTGGGTAAGAACTAGGAAGTATAGCAGTAAAGGAAACATAGCTATAGGACAGAAAGTGAACCATAAAGCTGACTAAATAGGTTTCATAGATGATGAACTAGGAACAAGAGAACATCAATCTGGGGAATGCTTGAAACCCCACACATCACCTCCCATAGATGGTTTTAGATCTGAGAAATCTTTACCACAATGGGCCATTGAGGCAAACACTAATTCTCATTTTAATTCATTTATAGAGTAGTTGAGAAGGAACATGAAAAGTTAAGGAAAAGTTAATAAAAAGGCTTTATGTATCTCCAGTTGGCAGAGATACAATGGGGTGAATGGCCTTTTTCAATGCTTTAATTTCTACGATTAAAATTCTGCTGTGGTTAAACTAAAGCCTGGAACAGTACTCTCCTTAACAATTTGAAATATGTTTACCATTTTATAACACAGATGTGGTCTCAACAACTACAGACCTTGAATAAGAACACAATTTGATAGTTTCTTTTAAACTGAGATTTTGTCAATGTTAGTATGAATGATCCTTGAAGTTGGAGGACAGTTCAGATTTCTTTTGTTGTACGGTAAATTTTCTGCACAATGAATTATGTTAGTGCCAGAGAATAATCTGCCAACCCTTTATCCACTCCTTCTCCAGAACATCACCCACCTCTAACACCTGAATCAGCTTACCTCCTGCTGAAAACCATATCCATGCCTTTGTTATCTCTATGCTTGATTGTTCCAATGCTTTTCTGGCTGGCTTCCCATCTTCCACCCTCCAATAATAAGATCATTCAAAATTCTGATGTCTGCATTCCAACTCGCACCACGTCCATCCAACTTACCACACTGCTCACCAACCTAGCCTATTTCCAGAACTGGCATTTCCCTCATTTTCAAATCCTTGTTTTGAATTGTATCCATCAACTTGTCCCTGCAGATCTCTGTCACCTCCTTCAACCCTGCTACCAGCACTATTCATCACTGACAATAATTCCTGCCCTATCGCCCATTGAGAAAACTGCACTCCATCAATTCTGACCTCTTGTACGTTCCTGATTTTAACCAGCCCAATGTCAACCAGCCACTTCTTAAACAGCCTGGGCACTGTCTCCCAAAAATCCACATCTCACTCCTCCTCAGAATCTCTTGGCCAAGCATTTGGTTAGTTGTTCTAATACTTGTCGTCGACAGTATCCCCACCTCATTTAAAGGAAAGATGCCAAACAGACGAAAAACTTCTCTTCTTGCATTGATGCTTAAATGGTGTCATTGGATTTTAAAGGTGTTTATTGTTTCAGAAACAATATTGAACATTAAATTTTCCATTTTCTAAGCATTTCAGAGACACGTCTGCAGACAGGATTCATCTTTTGAAAAAATTACATTACCGCTGAAAGCCATATGAAAGGTGAAACATAGTCAAAAATATAGATAAGAGAAACTTGTCTATTTTTGTTTCCAAATATGCTAAATCTGAAAAAGATGGTAATCAGATTTACAATTCCATCTGTTCCCTCAGCCCAAGTTGACTTTATATCAACTTCTCAGCTACATCTTATCCATAAATAAATGAGAACTGAGAGGCTATTCCAGATTTATTGCATTTTAGCATTAATGCAGGGAGATAAATTCTTAGTCTGTGTGGCATTTATTTTATCATTGATAAGGGATGCTGTCAATATCACCATTTACTGTATTTAGATGTCAAGTACTATGGCAATAATCCAACCAAATTGGGAAACTCCAATGTGATTAACCAGGAAAGCTCAGGTTGGTGACAAAAGTAGTGATTTTAGTGACATCAAAGTGATAGGAAATCATCTTAATGGACCTCAAGGCTACAGCTAATCAACATTCCCACATTTACCAGTGATAACTATTTGATTCATGAGGCTAAACCTCTGATCAAAATGAATAAATCGTCACAATGTATGCATAATAGTAATTAGCCAGTGAAATCTAGATCATACAGGCAAAAATCCTTCATGTCATCGTAGTATTAACTAATTAGCAATATCTAAAGTGACTGGCTATTTTAAATAGTGAATGCCATAATGTCACTGAGCACATCCTGAGTTTTCATTTTATCAAACCACCATGACACTGTCAAACCAATACAAATAGGTAGCCAATTGAGATGAAATTCATGTCAAGTGTAAACTGAACAATAGCACAAACAGTTACAGATCTACTTAACTTTATTATGAAATACAAGGAGGAAACAGCTTAAGAATTGAAATTATACAAAGATCACTAAGACTGGAAAGAGTCATTTTAAAATAAATTTTAAAAAATTCATCGGAATCCATCATTTGTAAACTAAGTCATTAATAGGATTAACAGCGAATTCAATGGGACCAAAAGTACCAAGAAACTGAGCGTTCATATTGTCAACCAAAGTTATAAAGAGAGAAATGTACTAAAATTAAAAGACAAGTTATCCATTTGGAGTGAACTTAATATTAAGTTACAAGTCTGAGCACAGAAGATGCAAAGCCACTGGCATCTTAATTACTTTAAAAGTGATGTGCTTTTATAAAATGACCTCATTTATGCACTATCATATCCAAATACTCCAAAGGCAACAATTAATTACTGTCACATGACAACTTAATTCCTGGCAGTTACAGTCTTTTTAGGCCGTCGAAGTCTAGATTTTCTTGGCACATTTTCTACATCACATTCAACTTCTACCAATACTGTACCCCTTGCTGAATTCACATATTTGTAATCAGGACTTGAAGGCACTTTCTCTGACTTTCTAATCAATTTCGTTCTTGCTAATCTTCTCTTTTTACTTGTATCCATGAAGCAAAAATCTTGGGGAGAATTACCTAATGAAAATAAGGGCCCACCTCCAATTTCTTTTGGGAGGTCAAGATTGTTGGGTTTACCTTCGACTGACCTTTTACAATTGGAATTATGGTTTAAAAGCTTTTTTCTCACAGGTCGTTTTCTTAGAGACTCAAGAGAATTCACTCCCACTGTAATCTCACCAAGATTATCTGAAGTCTCTGTTAAAATGATCTTCTTGGCACCATCTGCTTCATTTGGACAGGAGTCTCTCCTTCGCCGCATTGGTAATTTTGTGTTTACTTCATTTTGTTTACGATCCTGCAGTGCTGACTCACTACCGCCCACTGTGCCTTTCAAACCTGTCTTCAGCTGTTCAATAGATTGAGGTTGTTGTTGGCCGTCCTCTTGAGCTGGCTGTCTCTTGTTAATATATTTTTCCAATTTTATGACAGGAAGTAATAACTTGCTTTGAACTGAGTTCATACAATGTTCTGTTCTTCCAGTATTTATATCTTGAGTCTCTTGCCTGAAACCTGTAGCAGATTGGGCTGCATCCTGCTCATCTTCTGTTACAGTGTGCAATATTTTTGGCAAGCAAGTGTTAGCTTCAGATTTGTTGAAGTTTCTGATTTTTGTGTTACAAGACTTTTCAACACTGAAAGAATAAAATTTCCAGTAAGAATTAAGATGTCCATTGTCATCCAGATGGAAAACATTCATTTCCTTATTTTATACTTGTGAAAACTCCCGCGAAACTATCCAAATGTCAATCTTAATTATTTTTGGTGCCCATAATTCAGATGTTTCCAGCTGTGCAAACTAATACTTATTTCACATGAATTTTATATTAAGAACAAAAGCAAAACTAGGAAGTACATTTTGTGGGGTTAACAAGCAAAATCTTGTTTTTCAAATTAATTAAAAAGAATTCTATTAAAAGCACTACTTCAAACTGAAAACATTTTTTTTTTCAAAAAAAGGCATCAGGTCTTTATCTGTGGCCATAATTGGAAATTCCAATATTTTAAAAGTCTGAATACTTAATAAGAAGCAGCAGAATGCTATGTTCCTGTAAAGACATACTTAAGTCTGATTCTGGTAAAGATAAAAGTCTCTGATACTTAATTTGCTCAAGATCTCAAAAATGCTGTGTGTGGGACAAGTTTATTCCCTGTCTCAGGAATTTCAGTTAAGTCTATCAGCCATTGACAAAGTCTTCACCTACCGTTTTACCTCTGTGGTTTTGCAGCCTGGGATTCTATCAATAGCAATACACAAGAAAAGGCCTTTAGTACTGAAAATGTCCCAAGGCAATTCAAAGAGTAGTAACAGAACATGAAGTCGGGAGGGAAATCAGGGAGAAGAAAAGGTAAGTTTTCTGAAGGTCAGAAGGACCTGGCAAATGAAAGCTCTGGGACCCAGAGAAATGGGGGGAGGGTGGAAAGATCTGACAGCCAGAGCCGGAAGACTTAAAGATGCACAGGGGAGAGTAAATTTGGATAGGCTTGCAGTGGTATGGTAGGAGGCGGCCAAGAAAGAACTTGAGTACAAGGATGACAATTTTAAGTTTAATGTGTCAGATATTGAGAGCTACGGTAGAGCTTTAAGTAAGAATGTATATATAGCTTATTGCAGAGTAGAATGTTTGCAAATGTAGATGAAAGGAGGTCAGCAAAGAGAACACCAGAGTAACTAATTCCAGAGAGAGCAACATAACAGATAATGGTTTCAATATAGAGGGGATAAGATTCAGACAGAGGTTACTAATCACATATTAGTGAAAGTAAGTAGTGGTGACTATGTGAAGAATGTGGGATTTGAAGCTCAGGTTCCAACAGGAGGCAAAGGAAATGCATAGTTTTACTGAACCAAAATGATCACAGACATGTAAGAACTAAAGGCATTGAAGCAGCAGTTGGCCATCTCACCCATTGAGCCCAGCCCACCATTTGATCAGATCAGATCTGATTGTGGGTCTTAGCTCCACTTTCGTGCCTGCAGCCCCCACCTCCTACACAAACACACACACCCTGCCCCCTAACATCCCATAACCCTTGACTCCCTGTGTATCAAAAATCTGTCTAACTCAACTTCTAATATTTCAACGGCTCAGCCTTCACTGAGGCTCTGCTACTCTCTGAGGAAAAGTGTTTCAAAAAACTAACAACCTTCAGAATACAAATTTCCCCTCAACTCTGTCTTAAATGGGAGTCCCCTTATTTTTAAACTGTGCTCCCTGGTCTAGATTCTCCCAGAAGGGGAATCCATCCTCTCAGCATCTACTATGCCATGCCCCCTCAGAATCTGATATCTTTCAATAAGATTACCATTTATTCTTTTAAACTTCAGCTGTAATGTACAGCAAATCATGCTTCAGTCCTTTTGTTGTTTACACTGAAAGAAGTCATGACTCAGCCAAGACTAGATCTAGAATAGGAAGCCTAATAGCACAAACGTGATCGCAAGATTGAGTGAAACATTTGAGAGGTATAGCTAACGCCACACTTGTGGATTGTATCACCACATGACAGCATATAAATAAAGATAAGGAAGGGCCAAGGAAATTCTTCAGGGATTCCTGAGGTATCACTGCAAAGCAAGAGAGAAAGAATTGCAAGATTGAGGAAGAGAAAGGAAATCACATGACAGTCAACGTCAGAGTGGAAGTCATTCATAGAAGTTGGTTTGGAATGTGTATTTCTTTTAAGGGGGAAGTGACACTTATTTTAAAGAGGGGAGGGATGTTCAGCAATTTAATACTGGGTTTCAGTAGCATAGTCTGGGTTATAGAAAACCACCAACTTATTTTTAGGCTGTAGGAAACCAGAAACTTGCTCAACAATATACCAGCAGTTTCTCCAAATCAGTCAGCTCCCAGTAACTATCTGTTCAATTTAATATACTATTGATTAGGTTACTCCTCCCTCTAACTACAATCTGTTATTACACCTGTTAGCATAATCAACAAGAAAAAAAGATGCTTGGGTTTTGGTCTGCAAGCCCCATTATAGAGTTAACATCTTTTGTCAATTTGTGACCATTGAGGAAGAGGATCATTATAAATTTAGGGTTTTGCTGAAGATATTTTGGGTGCTGGATAGTGCTGTTAGTTGTCTATGAGTCACATAAAGGGTCTTCCTTCTTTTTGCACCTATCCTAGTACCCTAATCCTATTGAAGATCAAGAAACATGGCAAAACTTGGCCGAAAATGTATTGTTAAGCAGTTTTATAGAACAGAATGCTAGTAGCAAATGTAACAAAACATCGCTTCCTCCAAATAACTGTCAGTTGTGTGAGTAAGTAAAACATGAAAGATCCTATCCCAAGTTGGTGGGCTGATGCATTGTGGGCAACATTAAATCAAACAAGGAAGGAGGAGGGGCCTTGATGGCTCTTTTCTTTAGGTAACCTGTTTGGTCAGCAGACTTCATCAACTGAGCTCTCAATAAGAGTCTTTGTTCATCATATTCTGTAAGAATTTTGAGGCTTGATTCATGGTTGCACCCCTTGTCTGGGAGTTGGCCCGAACAGCAACTATTCAAGCCTGCTACCACATCCCTCCCTTTGATTTGTGCAAATCTCAACAGGACATTTTGGTGGAAGAACCTCAGATATTGACTTCCTGTTAATACGCGATCATCAGAAAAAAAAAATTAAGGCCTGGTTAATGAATATTTAAATGTAATTTCTCTCCCAGCAGGTTCAGATTGGAAGAGGATTGCTAACTTTGAACATCAGTCTAAGTCAACACTTTGGCATCAATCATGGCTGCTCCCTTTTCATAAAGCAAAATATATTCAAAAATCCCAAAACATGTCACAGGATAATCATTGGTCTAAATTCAATCTGGATGAGATAAAGATGTTTTTGCCATTAGGATTTATAGCTTTCTCACTGACAACTGGGATTAGAGCCTTTTGAAGATAGCAGCCTATGATCTATAGCAGTCACTAGCACAAATGAAGATTTATGAATTTGGATAGTGCTGGGATTACAGCTTCCTCTGGAATAATCTAGGAAGCAAGAAGACAGCAGGGCAACTGCTTATTCATGGTTTCTAAAGTACCACATGGATTACGAAGAAGGCTAGAAGACTTAAAAGGAATTTCTTCCCATGGAAGAGAATACATCAACCACTAATATTTCAAAGCACTTCATATAGTCATAATTAAAGTTAGCATTACCACTGACTGCCAGCACAACATATTTCAAATTTACTCTGTGAAACTGGTATATTTACTTATTATTATAGGACAACAAACTTGAGCTTTATAGTCAGAGTGCAAATTCTTCAATTTAATTATGTGATGATACATACATGTGTTTCAATGCTTCTTTTTTCTTTGATGTTGAAACAGAGACTTCACAAAGCTCTTTCATTTCTGAACTACCAGTGAAGTATTCTGAGGTTCCATTATCAATACCCTATTAAAGAAATGCAGAAACTCATTTAAAAAAAAAAAATACACCTGTACGTAAATGTGTTCATTCTGTATCATGATTTTTTGCACTTATTAGGTAAAGGGATATAATCACTAACTGGGAAATGAAACATTTTCCATTTAGGTCATCCATTGTTAACATTAAGTACGGTGTAGCTTTCGTTCATAAAAGTCACATTTTGGGGCTTGTATTTTAAGACAGCTGCAATAACCAAACATGATTGCAAAATTGTGCCTTTTTAAGACAGTAGAAATATAAACTTAATTGTTTCTGCAATATTGTTTTATCCATGCAGAATGTTAATGTAATAACTTTAACAAGGATTATTTATTCCATCAAATTTTTTTTGCATTTTACCTTGTAAGATGGTTATAAACCTAAACTTGAGAGCTGAGATCAGATTTAAGTATCAGCTGTAATGCACCAGCTGTACTGTACTGAATCAGCTTTATTTGGCTGGGTGCCACACCACAGCTCCAGCTGATATAGTACAATAATGCGGCTGATCCCAAAGTTCACTTTTATATTATTTGAAAAGAAACAAGTTAACAAGCAAGTTTACCGTAACAGCAAATTTAAAAAAAAAACCCTTTTCAGGTATCTTTGAAGACACAATAGTGCATTTCAACAGTAATTATTGCTTTCACTTTCAGCACGACTTTCTTAAACTTCTAATTTCAATTGTATGGTGTTTGGGTAAACATAGTATGCTAAATCATTAGATGTATGCAGAATAAAGTTAGGCGTGTCCACTCTGCTCAGTCACAAAAGAGCATCCCATGCATCAGTATGACAATTGCCATTTCTGACACCAGACATGTTACATAGACTCTCCAAATGAGTCTATTCATTCGGTGCCTATTAGTGTCAAATTAAAAGATTTGTGCTGCTGATCCAAGTCTACTAGGAAGTGGATCGAAACGGCTCATGCTCCATTAATGCAGGATCTTATTTGCTAAATGGAGGAGACCTTGATTCCATTATTGCCCTGACCAGTGCGATAACATGTCTCTCAGACCCAGAAAGGATCAGCATGGAAACAATGCATATCTCACCATAATGCTATCAGGTACCAATGTGCCTCCAGAAAAGGGTGTATCCATACTTAATTATTGAAAGCATTTCTGAAATAGTACAAAGGTGTTGGTAGTTCTGAAGTCTTGCATTGGCATAAACAATATAACAAATGTACAGTGATGCATGATTTAATTTCCTAATGTGTAACAAAATCAGTAAAACACAGAGAGGTTCACTGTTTGCATGTGATGCAACGGGTCACTGCTTGTTGAAACATAATGCATTACACTATATCGTTCGTTATACTATTTATCCCTGTATATTTCTACATCAGATATCATAAATTGTCCAAAAGTATAACTATACTATTGCAAAACAGGTTTATCAAAACTGCCCCCACTCTAATTCCCAAGTTTTCCTTTTCTGGTTTTGTCTTCCAAACTTTCAAAACACGTTTCTTATTTAGCAAGTGAAAATGACATTTCTGATACATTACAGATTAAAAGAAATGCACTGCATGCTTATTCACTCATAGTAATCCCAAAATTAACAATAAATGTAAAACTTGTGACAGATTATTTTGCCTCACTGTACATTTGTTATAGTGTTTATGCCTATGAAATACCGAGAGGGTTAACAAATACAAATTCTTAAAACAATGATCACAGTTTGGGTAGGTCATAAGTGAGTGTTTCTCTCTTCCCCCCCATTCCCCAGAGTGGTTCTAAAACAAAACAAAACATGAAACGAACACACAAAATAGATGCAGAATTGTTCAATTAAAAGACTCAAGTATGAGTCAGCCTTTGATACTGAAAGCCACTGTGGGAACTGCTGAAATTTCTACTGAAAGAATTATGTAAACTCCCTCAGGCTGGAAATAAGCCACAAAGGGAAGCTGTTGTAAGGAAAGCCAAAGGACATGACATAGAATGTAAGTCCAAGCAATCACTGAGCTAATACGGATGTATTTCTTGTGATTTTCCTCCATGTTCTCAAACTTAATCAGCCTCTATTTAGAACAGGGGTGGTATAAACGAAGTCAGAATTTTGTAAGTGCTTCTACTAGAACACTACAAGCTCTTTCAGAAATATTTGTTATGATAAACTAAATCTGACGCAGCAATCCTTCCTCTAAGCATTAATTAGGCAGCTTTTAGAAAAAAAAACGGCATACAATGATAGCCCCAGAAGTTTGTGATCTAAAGGAGTGCATTGCTGTGCTTAAAATATCCTTTTTTTTAAACTTCCAATGATAAAAATGTCACAATCTGTGTTTAATATTAGATCTGGTAATGAGGTTGTCACAGACTATTTTTGGGCAATATGATTGTCCATCACAGTAACTTCTATTTAACATAAGAAACATTTTGTGTGAATTTTGAATGTTGTTTCCAGCCCATCTACATCTTTAACTAAACCAGCTGAAAAATGGTAACTTTTGCGTGCCTACTTTAAAAAATATTTCTACAGAATTTAAAGACTTTAGCGTAGTAATTAAAGGCATTCAAGTACTTTAGTACATGAGTGTCATTTGGCCTTTCAGACAACACTTACGTCCTTGATCTGATTTGACTTATTATTGTAACATATACTGAGATAGTGAAAAGTATTGTTTTGCGTGCTATCCAGACAAATCATACCTTACATATGTACGTCAGGATAATAGTAATAACAAACCATTTTATTGCTTACAAACACTTGTATACATCAAAACTTGTTAAAATTAAAATGCTTAAGGTGGCTTTAAAAACAATTTAAACACAAGGTGACTAAGAGCAAAGGAAAAATTCAGCCTGCAAAATCCACTGGCAACCTCTCAGCTAAAATCAACAATGTTTGAGTTCACTGTATAACATATGAAGAAAAGAACCACAAGCAGTGCTATAAACTAAGAGTTCACATATGTATGTGCTCTCATAGGTTGAAGTGCGTGATAGTCTGCTTACGTGATGAACCTATGGCAGCTTTGAAAGTATTAGGATATTTTCCACATCTTCTGTGGCATCATCTGATCTTGTGAGAAGATAGTCTGCACCTTGGGGGGTTGTCAATATTGTGTTAAATATTATCTGGTGTAGCTCAGGAGTATCACTTTGGCATGGCAGTCTCAGCTTCATTTGATGCAAAAGATGATAGCAGGCTCAGAAGTAGCAGAATTTGCTGACAAGTTTTATCTGAGCCTTGCTCTCTTCCAGCTGAGCTTTTGGCTCGTTTTTTTTTTAAAAACCCTTTTTACAGTCAGTTTCCAGACGTTTCCATGGTCAGAGCTTGTGTTGCAGTTTATGTGCCGATGTTCGCATATTTAATACTTGTTTGCTGGTGATCTTGAAAAGGTAGGTGTGGACATCCAGCAGGTCATGACCCAGTGGCCAGTTCACTGTATGGAAGGTCTTTGGGTTTATGCCTGTCATCCATCTAATGAACACAGTCAAGCCATTGCATGTCATCAATTTTGAAATGAATGGACGCTGACTAAATTTATAGAGTCCAGGACTCTCAGGTTGATGATCTTATCCTGCAAAGATATACTGAGATGTGTCTGAAATAGCAAAGGTAGAAACTATTAAGCCTTATTCCCTGATCCTGCATAGTATATGTTGTCCAGGTTTCCCTTCTATTGAGGAGTACTTTGTTGGTTCACAATCTGGTTTTCTTCATCAGGTTGCTGTTGGCCCCAATACACTCTACAGTAAAACCAAAATAACTTGATTTTCAACCCTGCTACAATCTATGATTGGCTGTTTAGATCCCAATATTGTTGAAGTATAGGTTCAGGAAATTAATCGTGATATTATACCCAGAGGCCTATGGGGAAAAGTCACTGTCTGACCTTCCATAATTCTAATTTCTATTCATAAAACTATGGACTGGCCATGAACTTTGGAAGGTTACAAAACCAATAATCCTCCTATGAACTGGAAATACACTATATAATGTATAAAAGTGAAAAGTTGCCTAACCTGTAACTGATAATACACAGCAAAATAGAAAACCCGCTGCATTAACAACAACAGGGCGACACAGTGACTCAGTGGTTAGCATTGCTGCCTCTCAGTGCCAGGGACCAGAGTTCGATTCCACCCTTGGGCGACTGTCTGTGTGGAGTTTGCACATTCTCCCCCTGTCTGTGTGGGTTTCTGCCGGGGGCTCCAGTTTCCTCCCACAGTCCAAAGATGTGCAGGCTAGGTGGATTGGCCATGCTAAATTGCCCATAGTGTTCAGGGATGTTTAGATTACATGTGTTAGCCATGGGAAATGCAGGGTTACAGGGAAAGGGTAGAGGAATGGGTCTGGGCGGGAAGCTCTTCGCAGGGTCAGTGTGGACTTGTTAGGCCAAATGGCCTGTTTCCACACTGTAGGGATTCTATGAAGGAATAGAGGGGGTTTGGATGTAATGTTTAATATTCATACAGAGCAAGCCAAACTGTGCCACTGCCTAAATTTGTGAATTTCAGAGTTGACATAGCAAATAGACAATATTTAATTAATAGTCATTGTAATTATTGAAATATGATGATGAAACAAACTCTAAATATGCATTGCAAATATAGTAATCTATAACAATGCATTTTTACTTCATATTTCCTTAAAAAAATGTTAAAAGAAGAGTTTCAACAAGCATTGCTTTTTGTTTTCAGTAATCTGTTTCACTGTGTTCTAGATTCTCCTTGCAGGAGAAGCAACTTCTCAGCGTCTATCCTGTAAAGCACCTATGACTTCAACTAACACATCAGTCAAGGAGCATTATTTTGTTTCATCCTCTTCAAAACGTCTTTGCTATACTAACAGCCACTGTGGTTACTTAAATAGCATTCAGTGATCAGCGCTGTTTTTTCTCCAACTGTGAAACATGACAAAGTATCAATTGGATAAGACTGAACACAGTTATGGAAATCATTAACTGGCTTGTGGTGCATGCAGAATACCCCATTTGTGCTACTTGAGGATTTTGGTGATTCCTG